TGTGTGTGTGTGTGTGTGTGTGTGTGTGTGTGTGTGTGTGTGTGTGTTTCTGCAAGAGCATGTAAGCTGGGAACGCTCTCGCATATTAAAGAAATCCTCTTGTCCATTCTTTCATCTGTCCGTCTGTCTGTTCCTCCATCCCTCCATCCATCCACCGTTCTCTCTTCTCTGCTCAGGCTTCCCCTCTTTAGCTCTCAGGCACTGCTTTCCTGCACTAATTAAAATATTAGGGATAATGATCATACCGATGATAATAATAATAACAACAAGTACCGCTTAAGCTGTTAACATAATTGCATTCCCCTCATGCCACCATATACATAGCATTTGCATATCATTAGGATATATTTCCTGCAGTGACTTCAGTGAATTTGGTGTTTTTTTGTCAGTGGGTGTGAAGGAGACGGGAGGTGAGAATTGCACAGCGTCCGTGCTGATCATTCAGTCAAAGATGTAGCTGTGTGAGAGAGAGAGAGCAGCAGAAATCATTTCAATCACGGTTTTTTAATTATTTTTATTTTATTGCGAGGAAATGTTATTCAAATAAATTGTTGGTAATTGTGAGTGAAAATCTAAATTTTCTGTTCAAAGAGTTTGTTGCATGTTTGAAAATGCACTCATGTCAAAGTATGCCCTTGATGAAAAAATGTAAATTCATCACATACATTTCTTACATGCCAAACAAATCTCAACCAAATAATGTTGTTTTAGTGGTATTTATTTGCTATTGAACAGCTTTAATGATTAATCTTGTGCAGGCGATAGCGCACGATTTCTACCCTGCAAGTATTAGAGTGTGCGTCACGACAGCAATGAAAGCAGCGCAACAGACGTATTCTATTGTGTCGGTACATTTTAGGAGCAACACCCATGACCTTAAAGATTTGATAATGATTTATTTTTCCTGATTTTCATGGTGACATAACATAATAAATTAACTGAAGGAAATAAAATTCTTGAAACTTTGAAGGCCGACCGTTCTGCTTACACTCTCTTCGTTCAAATGATCAGCCGGTGCTATTCAACTAAAAACACAATAGTGCAGCTTTGCAAAAATGTTGGAGTCACTTAAAAACAGGAAGCTATCGTGAATCTTTGCTGTCATTGAAAACTGTTGGGGGAAAAAAAGACATCTGCAGAATTAATGAGAATGCAAAGAAATTATTGTTTGTTTCTCATCTAAGAAAAGTAATAAAATGTATTATATTTTCCTCTGTGTTTTTTTTTTTTGGTCAGTCCTTCGTGCACTCTTTTTTTTTTTTCCTCAGGCCATGAGGGAGAAAAAGCAGCAGAGAGGGAGAGCGAGTGTAGCTCATTGGTGGGAGGGAAGGGGGGGGGGAGAGATTGCGTAAATTAAAATCCTTTTAATCTCCTTATAAAATCATTTACTTAATTCATCTGTCAAAGCATGTCAATATGTGCCACACTGATTTGTTGGCTGTGTGTGTGTGTGTGTGTGTGTGTGTCTGTGTGTGTGTGAGTGCATTTGCATCTGTTTGTAGTCATGCATGGGTTCGTGCCTGCCTGTCCACATTGTGTGTGTGTGTGTGTGTGTGTGTGTGTGTGTGTGTGTG